TCCCAGTTTGTATATATATATATACAAACTGTATATATATGCCATGTATTTCATCCAATTGTCTATCAGCGGACACTTAGGTTGTTTCCATACCTTTGCTATGATGAATAATGCTGCAATAAACATAGTGGTGCATGTGGTCTTAGCTTCTCCTTATCTAATGTACTGTTGGAGTTGGACTAGAGCTAGGCTCCTTTGTGAGAATTAGTGCAACCTGACTTGCCTCAGTTTACAATATTTTGGCATCTGCAATGTTATAGAGGCCATCCCCCTATTCCATACTTTTGTATCAAAAGGTTTCATTATTTGATAATTTAAAAGAAAATTGAATTGTGTATTTTGTAGGATTATTTGTCTCCTTTGGTGAACTGTGGGCTTTGCCTTAGTGTGACCCTCCGTGGGTTCATTCTTGCTCATCAAAAGAGGCATCTACAGTCTCACCACAATGAAGTACGTCTTTAATCCCCCACATGACCTCCACATACATAAACACATACACACACACACAGAGCTGAGTCCACCTTGAAAACCTATCCAAGTACATTTTAGTTATACAGAGATTATTGGTCAAAAGCCAGGAGTTCCCGTGAGAAGGAATTGGATTTTTTTCCTTTCTGATGACTGTTTTTGAAATTTTGTTGTTGCAAGATACGTTTCCTGTTGAGTAAATTTGTGTGTGTGTGTGTGTGTGTGTATGTATATGTGTGTGTGTGTCTTTATTATAGTAGTTCCTCCTTATCTGCAGCAGATGTTACCAAACTGCTTCTGTGCTGGGGGCTAGCCCTGCCTCTGTAGAGTCAGGACCTTTCATGAATCAGGCGACCTTCAGGTTCCTGACTCAGGCAGGAACAATTTCACCACACGAGTCCAGGTGAAAGTGAGAGTAAGTTTATTAAAGCTTGGGACCATGAGGCCAAAGAAGGGCCCCTGGAGACAGGATCAGGGGATAAGCCTGGGACAAGCTGCCACTGCCCATGGCTCCCCTGGGTGCATGTCTTGTGGGCACCCTTAGGGCTTAGGGTAGAAGAAGCAAAGTACATGCCCAAGGAAAGGGGGACACAAGTTTGCTCAAAGAAGAGCTCACATTGGCACCCTTCCTGAGGGTTTTATCTATTTTTAATAGGTGGGAATTTTAGGGGAGGTCTCAGAGGTGGATCTCAGCAGACTATTCATTAGATTTCCAGCTATGTCATTTGGTACATTGATATATAAAGATGAGCTTATAATGGGGCTGGAGTCATTATCTTTCTTTTTTTTGTTAAATATATTTTTATTGATTTCAGAGAGGAAGGGAGAGGGAGAGAGTGTTAGAAACATCAATGATGAGAGAGAATCATTGATTGACTGCCTTCTGCATGCCCCCTACTGGGGATCAAGCCCACAGCCTGAGCATGTGCCCTTGATCAGAATCTAACATGGGACTCTTTCATCCACAGGCGGACACTCTATCCACTGAGCCAAACCAGCTAGGGCGGGGTCATTTTCTTTTCTTTTTTTTTATTGTCTATAGTCTTTATTATCCATAAATGATTGAGATCATGTGGCATTTTTCTTTCATTGACTGGCTTATTTCACTTAGCATAATACTCTCCAGTTCCATTCATGCTGTTGGAAATGGTAAAAGTTCCTTCTTTTTTATAGAAGCACACTATTCCACTATGTACATGTACCACAGTTTTTTTAATCCACTCATCTGCTGATGGGCACTTAGGCTGTTTCTAAATCTTAGCTATTGTAAATTGTGCTGCTATGAACATAGGGGTGCATATATCCTTTCTGATTGGTGTTTCTGGTTTCTTGGGATATATTCCTAGTAGTGGGATTACTGGGTCAAATGGGAGTTCATTTTTAACTTTTTGAGGAAACTCCATACTGCCTTCCACAGTGGCTGCACTAGTCTGCATTCCCACCAGCAGTGCAAGAGGGTTCTTTTTTCTCTACATCCTCACCAGCACTTGTCGTTTGTTGATTTGTTGATGATAGCCATTCTGAAAGGTGTGAGATGATAACTCATTGTTGTTTTGATTTGCATCTCTCGGATGATTAGTGACTTTGAGCATATTTTCATATGTTTCTGGGCCTTCTCTATATTCTCTTTTGAAAAGTATCTATTTAAATCCTTTACCCATTTTTTGATTGGGTCGTTTAGCTTCCTTTTATTAAGTTGTATGAGTTCTCTGTAAATTTTGGAAATTAAACCCTTATCGGAAATATCATTGGTAAATACGTTCTCCCATGCAGTGGGCTTTCTTGTTGTTTTGTTGATGGTTTCTGGGGTCATTTTCTTCTTACTTTTATCTTGGACTAGTGGCCCGGTGCATGGATTCATGCACATTGAAAGTAAATTAATTAAATATTTTAATACGTATCACTATTCGCCCTTTTTCTATAATAGAAGTGTCAGAGATGAAAGAAAATTAGTAAAATGTACATGAAAATAATATATAAATTGGTTAATAAATAAACAATAACAACATAATATAACAACAAATATTTTCCATGAGATTTTTACTGTCAGAATCTTCATTTATCATTAAGTTTTTAAAATATGCTGGGTTTTCTGGAAAATTTATATCATTAGGACAAACTTTGCCTTTACTACAACATCGAGTACATTTTCCATGAGATGGTTTTTATCATTGGAGAAATTTAGGGATAGGAAAATTGACATGTTAACAGTCATTCCATCACAACTGTGTTCGATAATTGCATCCTCATTTACCTCATTTTTGCTATGAAGGCAGTTCCTACCAGTATCGGTAGTACTTGTTGATGACTGTTCTTCAGACATATTCTGTTGATGACGTCGCTTTCTTTTGGGTTCAGATGTACGTAGTGCCAATAGTTGTTCTTCAGACATACTCTGTTGATGATGTCACGTTTTTTCAGCCTTAGAGGTACATAGTGCCAATATTTGGTCTTCAGATACATTCTGTCCACGATGCTGGCTTCTTTCAACTGTAGAGGTACGTTGTGGCAATAGTTGGTCTTTAGACATACTCTGTTGACAGTTTCAGCGTCAGAATGTCAACAAAAACGTGATGTCATTACCCGGCACCCATAGCCACAATTTCTGGGCTGGGCTGGGGTCTTGGCAGCGTTGTCTGCGATTTGGTGGGGTGTCGCTCCGGGATGGTGGCAGGGGCCTGTGTCCCACTTGGGAGAAGTCAAGTGTTGCTTTATGGGCACCAAGTTCGCAGTGGCATTTATTGTTAAATGGCCTGTCACTACGGATAGGAAGCCGGGCATTGCTACGTGACATAATTACCTGGTGTCCACAGCCACCGTTTCTGGGCTGGACTGGGCTTTCGGTTGCATTTTGTGCAATGGGGTCTTGGCAGCGGCTGTGATTTGGTGGGCTCTTTCTCCTGCGTGGTGGCAGGGCCTGTGTCCCACTTGGGGGAAGCTGAGTGTTGCTTTGTGGACGCCAGGTATGCGATGCCGTTTCTCTGTAAATGGGCAGTGCACCTCATGGCATCTCCTGCGTTAAGCATCTGCCCCCTGGTAGTCAGTGCGTGTCATAGCAACTGGTCGGAGGGTCGAACACTTAGCATATGAGCCTTTTATATGTGTGTGTGTGTGTGTGTGTGTGTGTGTGTGTCCATGTGTCCACATACACACACACAACATACTAGAGTCCCGGTGCATGAAAATTCATGCACCCCCAGCCCTGCCTGCCCCCTCTCACAGTCCAGGAGCCCTCAGGGACAGGAGGCAACCCAGCCATCAGAGGAAGGTGACAAATCCATCACACTTCTGCTGCTGCCACTGCTGGCAGCGCAAACCTTGGCTGGCCCTGGGTGGCTGGGCAGCTGCCATCCAAGCCTTGCCTGTACCTCAGGCCTGCCCTGGGCGGCTGGAGGGTTGAGGGCAGGTCCGGCTGCACTGTATGCCTGCCACCCCCCCGGCAGGGCTGAAAGGACTGGGGGACTCTGGTGGGGCTGAGGGGACTGGGTGCCGCCATCTTGTGGCTATGGGTACTGCCATCTTTTGCGATGTTGTGATGGTCAATTTGCATATTCCCCCTTTATTAGATAGGCTATATATAGATAGATTAGTCTGGCTCTAATTAGGAGGCTTTTTCTTGTCTGTTTTGTTATCTATCAAAAGGTGATTCAAGCTACTTGCTCTTAGATATCTTTGGTTAGGGGATAGGTTTAAACCACCCGCTCTTATGTATCTTTGGTTAGGGAGCATAAAATCTTGTGATTTATCAACTGGCTGTTAATTGTTCAGCCTGTCCAGCTGTTTGTTCAGCCATTTGTCTCGGTTTCCTCATTCCACTAGCCAGGGGATTTTCCTAGGTTCTTACTAACTTGCCTTAGGAGTATGTTCCAAGATCCCCAGTGAATGCCTGAAACCATGGATAGTACTGAACCCTACATATACTATGTTTCTTTTCTACTACATACATACGTTTTCTCTTAAAAGAACCAGTTTATATCCTTTGGAATATCCAAATTGCTAGCATCACTATTGTTATGCTTTGGGGCCATTGTAAAATAAGCGTTACTTGAACACAAGTACTGTGATACTGCTACAGTTGATTTGATAATTGAGACAGCTACTAAGTGACTAATATGCAGGTAACATATGCAGAATGGGTATGCTGGACATAAGGATGATTCAACTCTGGGCAGGATGGAGGGTGGAGTAGGATGGTGGGAGATTTAAAAGTCATGAATTATTTCTGAAATTTTCCATTTAATATTTTTGTACTGCAGTTGACTACGAGTAGCTGAAACCGCAGTCAAAGGGAGAGGGATGACGATGGTACTTTAATGTGGGAAGATAAAAAAAGGAATTTAAGTAGAGCAGTTTCATTTTACTACATTTTATTGCCTGTTTGTAAAATACAGGAGGCTAGTTATGGGTTTATCTGTAAAATCCAGATAAAATGTGTTCTTGTCATTTATAACAGTGACATTTAATTCTAGTATATTATTTGCATTCTAAAATATAATTATACTAAATGTTTATGATATGAGGAGGTTGCATATAAAACCTTGACCAGGTTTCTTTTTTTTTTTAAAGGTGCCTAAATATGCCCCAACTTTTACTAAGATACTCTATGTACAAAAATTGAAATATCATGTAAAAAAATGGTTACAAATTACATTTTTGAAAACCAGAGAATTTAATTAATACATCCTGTGCTAATTGTGCTCTAGCCAAACCACCCAATATTTTCTTTTTTACACACAAGTTACTTCTAATTTTTGATACTGCGTTTCATCTTACTGACTTCAGCAACACTCAAGACCTATTAGTGTTTCTTTGGTTCAAATAAAAAAGTGGAACTGAGGTATAATGAAATGCAAACTATGTAGATTCCTTATAAGTTATTGGCCTCAAGATAGACTTTCAAGAAAGAGATGAAAAAAAACAGACATCACAGAACTTCTATCAGAGGTTATCAAAATATTGGTATACATTATGTCCTAACAGAGTAGATTTCCCAAGCTGCTGCACAATTACCCTAAAATTACTAGCAAGAAAAAAAGTACAAAATAAGGCTAATGGCTAACTCCACTTAGTATCTTAATTATTCTCCATTCTAATATCATCAGAAGGATCTCCAAGAAATAGACAATAATGGCCGCTACATCTAAAGCTTCTGAATCTTGATTCAGTCTCAAGTTTCCTCTCACATGGTGTTTTCAAAGTAGAGAGAGGGTGCAATATTTAATAACTTGTAGCATCCTCTGCAGCCTTTCTTTCCAAGCAGTTGCCAGTGTCCACATTTCATGTCTCACGTGGAGTATGCCTGACCCAGCCCCAGGCCAAGCCCCTGGAAGTTCTCTACTCTGTCCTGCTGTTGGGGTGGACCTCCTGGTAGAAAGAAAGGGAATTTGGTACTAGGGTTGAGAGTCAAGTTACCAAGGTTCTTTGCTAGTACTTCTAAGACAACTTGAGAATCCCTGAATCTTCTTTTTCTAAAAACCCTACCCCAAGAATATGTTTTTTATTTTACTATTTTTATTTTTTTGGG